ACAGAAATGTTATTAGTATCGAGCATACGGCTAGTGCTATTTTTGTTGCTTTTTGGCTCGTTTTGCCGTTTAGAGAAGGAAGAATTTTTAACGGTTTAGTTAAAAACATAATTGCATGTGTTGTATTCACAAATTTCCAAGACACACTGAATTATATTCTTTTCAATATCTCAGCCTCGGGTTTATTCTTAAAATATTCTTAAAATTTCGCAAATTTCAGCCTCGATATTCTTATAAAACATATTCTTAAAAAAAAAATACAAGAATGTAATTGTTATTATTTAAGTATGATTTTTAAACGGGGATTAATTGACAGCTGAAAAGTGGTCCAAATTTCAACAGTCAGCTGTGAAGTGCCGCGCTTTTGAACTGGCGGCTGTGATTTGCAAAATTGTCGATGGCTGAGAAACTGGTTGAAATATATGGCTGAGACATATTTTGCTGATAGCCGGATTCAAATGAATGACACGAGCGCGTGGCTCTTTTAATGGCGGATTACAATTTATGCGAAAGCGATTTTTAAATAATTTGAAGGGGTATTAAAATATTAACCTTTAGTCCTAAATTAAGTATCCGCGAAAACTATTGAAGGTAAAAAAAAAATCAGGAAGGTAGAAAAATCTAGATTGAAAACATCTATATCAAACATCCTACTGCGACATATTGTTTTCTTCAAGTGAACAGCTGCAAACAACATGGCTCGCAAGTCACGCTCGAGGATCAAACTACTACTATTGTTGCCAATCTCAACGGATGCGTCATCGGTAAAGGGCAATCTTTGTTTACAATATTTTCCTCATTAGCAGAAGCGATTCAGTTCTGATCAAGCTACACAAATATCAGCTCTGAATGTTGAAAGAGCATGGCATTATTAACTGTTCCAAGTAATTTGAACCCGATGCGTTGAATACGTTTTGATTAAAAACTCAAAATTTTAAAAGGGCATGTATGAGCTTCATTAGCGCTTTTTTTCAACCCGGAAATTTTGTAGTTTTTGAAAGCCAATTTCTAAATGAATATCACACCTAAAGGGCAAAAACTATGAACAATTACTAAGTTTCACAAGCTTTTCAAATGTTTAGTGTCAGTTCGTATCATGTATGATCCCTTCTCTGCGATAAGTCCTATGCTACTGAGTAAAAACGCTTAGTTTCATTTTGTGACACAAAACGCACAAAAGCGTAAACTAAATTAAGACAAAGGTGTTTGTTTATTGGATTTCACTTCATTTACTGACCATAACTGCGAACACGTACTTGGATCTATCATTTTCGGTAGTTCCGTTTGAAAACAAAATTTCTTTGTTACTATATATATGCAAATTGACAATACGGCAAGAGAGAGCCAAAAAACCTCACAGTGTCTTCAAGCTAGACGACCAGTTATCATTAAATAGAGCCATCTCTCACTTTCTACATAACAAAATTTTAATTTTCATTTTAAATTCTTTATTGTGGAAAGCTGCTCTTAGTGTGATTAATCATCTCAGTTCATTCTCATTCGACGGTACTTAGGAAGTGTTCGGTGAGAAAAGCAAAAAACAGCTTTCAGATATTTTTATGCGAGTGAATGTTCCATTTTAAGCAAGTGAGTTAATCTTGAAGGCTTTGGTAGGAAAACAGTTAGTTTTGACTAAGGGCGGGTTTTTCTGATGGAACAATCCATGTGGGTGATAAGTTAATAGTCGATTTGCTTGAAATTTGGCCCAATTGCATCGATAATAAAACAGCATTTGACAACTACGTATTTAGCTCATTAAAGTGGCAGAAGAAGGCATAACATATGTCAATATAAACTCTATATTGATCGGAATCAATTCGAGTCCGGTAAGAGGCCGTCACCCGATCTCTACGAACGCGTGGGAGTATTTACAAAACAGGACTTTTCTGCGGAAAACTTAAAACCTCAAGACCCATATTTTGAAAACATAGAGCTAAAATTTCAAGGGTGTGATGATAACCTTCTTGCTTTAGGAGTGGTAAGAAATGTTTTATTTGCGTAATTAAATGTTAGCTGTAAGGTGTCGGTTGTTCATTAGCATGTTCGTTGCCTAGTGACGGTGCAATACGAAACGCGGCATCAATTAGTTCATCGACTGAGAATAAATATCTGAACCTATTAAAAGCCGTGAAAATTGAAATTTGAGGAGGAATAAATGTGAGCTGGACATGTTGTAGATACTTACAATCAACGTTTTTCATTTTGTTACATCAATAGCTTCATAATTGTCCCAAAAACCCAGTACTTATACGATGACCAAGTATGTGCAAAGGCTTAGTATCTTTCAGTCTTTTTTTCCTTTCAGCTATGAATCCTGTATTCTTTATTCAACCCTATATTGTTGCCATCCTGTGTGCTTCAATAGCATAAATTAGAGGTCGGCAGCTGTAATTTATGCTAGCGAAAACAAAAAGCATGGCAGGCTGCAAACCGTAAGTAAACCGTCAACAAACTACGAGAGGCGGCGCACAAAAAAAAAGAAAACACATCAAGGGGAGTTCCATTTGTATCCAGAGAAGAAGAAAAAGCTTTAAAAGGAAATTTCCATTTATTCCTCACGGGGCCAGCTGAACCGAGGAAAGCTTATTGATATTATTAGTCCAAAAAGACAATAGCCATTGCTTCGATGCGTGCGTTGGTTGTTTTCAATCTATCTGTCAAAAGTGCAGGTGAATCAATAAGATCTTTTCATATTATCTTTGGCTAATAGTTCCGTCGGATGAAAATGCAAGTGATGACTCGGACACTGAATCTTTGCACCGGCAGAAGCGACTTAACCGATGACACTTTTAAACAGCGCTAAAAACGATACTCATCCCAGTGGCTTTAAGACAGTAAGCAGGCACGAAGCTTCTTTAACTCTTAATCTAAATAATTGATAATGTAATGCTATATTACTTTCTTTCCCGTTTAATTTCAGGGCATTTTTCTTGAAGCTATCGACCGCACAGGCGGACAGGTAGGATTTCGTGCATTTTTGTGTAAGATGTTTTATAGATGTCTATAGAGCAAGAAATGAGACAAACGTACGGCATTTCGCGCGTATTTTTTAGCCTTAACAAGCGCCCGCCAGCGACAAGAAGGCAATACCGATTTGTAGTGAGATAGAAAAATTAAATTAAAATGATAGACAAGTTCATATTAAATGCAAATACACACTTCTTCTCCGGACACAAAGTTGGAATGATGAATTTCACAATTCAGTAAATTAAAAATGACGCTTGAAAAAAGCCCTGCCACTACAAATTTTAACCAGAAAACATCACTGACCGGATTCGTTATTACTGAGCTGCAGAGCTTTCTCGTCTTGGTGATCGGCAGACTGAGTTATCGCCCAAACACTGCAAAGTTGTTGAAACGTATTTGTTCCGTTTCTGAAACGCTGGTCAGTCATTTGAAGTTCGAAAGATTAGTTTTAACGGGAGTGAATCATAATTTCCGAGTAAGGTTGCCCGAGCACAAACAGATATTTCGCAATACGGAAATGGTAGCTTAAAATACACTGTTTTCTGTTATGCCATATAATGACCTATAGTCATACCATACTGTAGCATAGAAAACAGTGAAATCAATGACGAAATTCATATGTTTAATCACCGTGTGAAACTGAAAAAAAAGACGAAAACCGTTCGTTAACAAAGCCACCGTCTTGCTGTCGATTTTTTCCTAGCCGGGAGGGTTAATATAATGAGTAAGCAATAACTTGAACCTCACACAGTAGTAAGTAACACTAGAGAGAGTTTAATTTACACTTCTAATAACGCAAGCGAAGACGTTTTCCAGGACATCAACATATTTTGTTTGCCTTAAAAGCCATGGTAACAGGATATGTTAGACGTCAGTGCAAAAGACGAACTCACTTTTCTGTCAAGTAAGTCAAACCAGAGTTCCTATTGAACTGAATTTTGCTCTCGAGAAACGATGCAGCGATGAAGACGGTAGTGGAATCAGATGAAAACCTCTTCTCATAGCAAGCTTAGCCGGAATTTTTCTTTCTTTCTCACCGAATCGAATTTAATAAAGGCTTGCTCTTTTTACCATCATAACTTGACGCAATAAATTAAATCTGACAACATAATAAACAATTGCGTTAACTGCCGTTAATTCTGACTAATTTTGAAAATCTCTTCTATGTCCTCCGGCACCGACAGAAAATGATGTTTGTACGCGCGTGTATCGAAACATCCGCGCGCGTCGCCAGCTGTATAAATACGCGCGTGATGTTTAAGGGGGTGTTACATGGGAGTTGTTATTTACTGGCTGGTTAAGTAAATACTAGCTCTTATAACGTGTAATTCAGGAGTTCTGTTGATAGCTGACTTGCAGGTCGAAACACTCTTCGCTTCTCTCGCTAATGACGGAGAGCTAAGGCAATATCCGTGTTCTTTGAGGTCCAAGGGAGATAGCTAGCTCAGAATAATGTTGACGAGAAAACCTACCGAGGGAGATCGGTGATATACAGCGTCTTCGGCGATATTATAGTACACTTCATCTTCTTTTAATTTTCTCACAACAAGAAACTAACATACACTCTTTTCTTTTTTATAAGAATACTTTTTTCTGGCCGAAGCTCAATGTTCTTATTTTTCTGCGCATTTTAGGCTGAGAACATTATTGTAAATATTCTTAGATTATAGCGTATGACATTTCTGTTTTCGATTGTATTTGGTGTCTGGATGGTGTTAAAGTAATTTTGGAGCCAGCCTGCAGGCATTTATGCCTGATATCACGCACATAACTTCTTGCAGAAATGTTATTAACATCGAACGTACGGCTAGTGCTGTTTATTTGTTGCTTTTCAAATGGCTATTTTGCCGTTCAGAGAAAGGAAGAATCATGTACGGTTTAGTTAAAAACATGTAATTGTATTGTATTTTTTCAACACACAAAATTATATTCTTTTCACCAATTCAGCCTAGGGGTTTATTCTTAAAACATTCTTAAAATATTCTTAAAATTTAGTAAATTTCAGCCTCGATATTCTTATAAAATGCATTCTTATAAAAAAGAAAGAGTGTATAGCCAGGTAAGCAAATGATTTAAAATAAATGGCAATTTCTCATCGTGCTTTCCGTGATTAATTTTCATGGTCAATGTAAGGAATCCAGATTCCAATCCCGATCGCGCGCGAGAAAACAACTCGTTTAAAAATTGATCAAGGTGGTTTTGACATGGGTTGACGGAATTTAAATTCCCTGATTATGAAGTGCAAGAGTAAAACATTTGATGAAGGTTGCCGTGGAATATCGAGGGTTAAATTACTCAGTGATCAGACTGGATAAACCTTGTAATGACTCAGCTTGTTTTGAAAAATTCCGGGTAGAATATTACGTTAGTTTTATAAATTCCGCTTCCGAACTTTTATGTTTACTCATTGTGCGAACTCTGGTTTAATGTGAACGCGGTTCTCGGAATCAAATTTAAATTTCTCGCATTTTTGATTCGCATTCGTCAAGGGTTAGTTGAAATAAATTTGCTTGTTATTGTGAAAAATCAACGTGACATCAGTTTGAAAAGCGCATATCCTCTCTTGTCGATAAATCAGTTGGCAGTCTGTTTTGTTCGGAGTATCTGACGATCCCCAGCTTGTTTTGACAGCGCTATGATGCAAGTCATCATCATTGAGGGGGCAGATCCATAAAAACTGACGTCAATTTGATGAAAAGCCTGCTAATGTAGCCGGCTCTTATCGCTGCTGGCCGAGTAGGTGTTAAGCGAGAAACTGAGCAAAACGCGAAAACCGGCCAAGAGCGACGACAAGCAGCTGTATTCCCAGGAGATTTGATAAAGAGAACGAAGGGAAGTTCACCTGCTTGTTTTAGTGACAACAATATCCCGTACAGTCCATATTGAGCGCACTAATTTTGTGTCGAAAGTAAGTCTAACTTTTGTTATCTCGGAGATTTCCACGAGGGGCTAATCGGAGTCCGTTATCAGTTAATCAGTTTGGGTTGGTTGGATTGAGTTGTTTTTTTCTTTGTTTGTGTGTTTTAATGCGAATCTTATCATGAGGATAAGAGATTCTCCGTCTTTCTCAGAAAGTTTTCTCCGGGTTTTCCGCTTTTCTTCCCTCCACAAAACCAACATCTCCAAATTCCAATTAGACCAGGATAGGGGAGCCGCATGAAAGCCAGCTAAGACTGATATAGCTTCCTCTCTAGATATTATAAATTTAATGCGAAGAACCGGCGTCAAATTGGATTCCAGCGGCGTGGTTGAATTTTTATAATATAACTGTTTAATTGATTAATATTCAAGAATATAGCATGCAGTATTTTAGCTAACTCGACGGAAATTTTGACCGTACAAACCGCAGTGACGTGACGGTTTTAATTCAGTGGCTTCAGTATGTGGTTCTTGTTCTTTGAAACACTTCACAAGAACTTAACAGTAAAATGGCAAACATAACGCGTAAAAAATATTTCTAATATGTCGTAATTAAATACCTAAATTTAAGACATAAAGGATAGCGGACTCTTCTTGGCAGAACGAAGTTAAACATAGCTACAGAAGCAAGCATTTTAAAGGATCTACCGTCCAATGAAAAACTTGGAAAGTCAGTGTAAGTCAAATACCGGTCTGAGCTAAGGTCAGCAAGAATTCCCAAGCATGCCTACCGTGGAAACTAATATTTTAATATTCTTATCTACTTTTAGAAAACAAGGAATACAACTGAACTAGATTTGACCATGTGCAGCAAGAAAACCAGCGGTATAGCCCTCCTTGTTATCGGCTTCATATTAGTTGCACTAGGTGTCATAATTGGATTAATGTTACCAAATAAAGCGCAGACGACGGTGGAGGACAATGTGTGTGTGGACAGTAAGGACAGCCCTGGATACGACAGATGGGTAAGTCTGTGCCAATCTGTTTACAAAAAAAAACAAATAAAGAAACAAACAAAAAAAATTACTAAAATTATTACCTCTCAAAATCTTGTATGGGTATAATAGTATAATTATTGAGTTTTCAAGTGGTTTCTTCCATTTTAGACATTTTTTTTTTTCATTTCCACTTGCTTTAAAAGAAATAACGCTTTAAATGAGTAAAGAAATCACACGATATTGACGGGGGCGGAAGGGGGGATCCGGAAACCGCAAAACCGCACAGAGCGTAATATCGCATCGAAATTTACCAAAATACCGAAACCATAGCAACAAATGTGCTACATGCCGTCATCGGTACTTCAGGTTGGCTATTCAATAAGAAATACAACCTTATTTATTTCTGGCCTTATTATCATGCTCTCTGACAATTCGTAAACTGAGAAGACCAATATATAATTGACGCGTTTTCGTGGGACAGACTTCGTTACGCTGCCATAGAACTAAGTGCACTCGCGCACGCAAGAATGCTGCTGGCTTAGCCAATGAAAAAACCCCGATGTTTCCAACTTCAACACGGCAAACCACTCAAATGTTGCTCAAAGTATGCTTTCCGTGATTTTTTTCTTTTTTGAGGGAAAATTCGTCAAGATTCTAGTTTCCCTCAGATATCCCGAGCACCAGCTCGGAACAGCCATTGCTGTGGTCGCAATTGGACTGAATCACCAAACATTATGAAAACTGCAAACCACTTAGTCTTTTAAAACCGAAAACCGCAGGTTATAATAAAACATTTCCGCAAAACCGCACCAAAAATAACGCAAAACCGCAATATCATTCATCATCATTTTTCATCATTTTATTTCTTCATAAAATCTACATTTTACAGTTGGACTGGCCCGCGAATAGCCATGCTAGTCTAGGCGGGCCAGTCTATCAATAGTTTCAAACGATTTATTATTATTATTACTTTTATTACTATTATAGAAAAATAAAAAGTTGGGAAAAAAAGTGATTAAAATAAAAAGAAAAAGTGGGAAAAGAATGAGAGTTAATAGCAAACCCTCACGCCTCCTCGATATTCGTAACTTAAGAAAGCATTTTAACAGGTTGAAGTTGGTTGTAGTCCTCTAAAAGTGTTCCTGAGTTCACGTGAGCGTTTTTTTTTTAAATCAAACCTGATAGTTCAGTTGGAAGTTCTCAGAACTGGTCAGCGTCAGTCGTCATCTTATCAAAAGACCTCTATCACGAAAAACAGCAGCTACTATGAACAGCAACAAAACCAAGAAGATAGTTTCTATGGGGATATTTGCTCGTTGCTTTTAGGCTCCGTCCAAACTACGCGCGGGGAATTTGAAAACGGAGCTTTATTTACCGTCCACACTAATCCGTCACGCTCTGCAAACCGGAGGAATTTGAAAACGCCGACTTTGCGTTTTAGTGTGGACAGAAAACATTTTGAAAAGCAAGCTTTTCGAGTTTACAATAACCATGGTATTTCCCTGCCTGAGTTTTACTCGAACACAAATCCAAAATGACCGGTTATTTTTGCGTTTTCAAATTTCTCCGGCGTAGTGTGAACCGAAAACATTTGATGCGTTTTCAGCGTGAAACCTACGTTTTCAAGTTAGGTAACACTAGCTGATACTGACGTGTTTTTGTTTGATATCTAGGAGGGTCCAACCGACTATATATCAAAAGTTTACATCTGGAACATCACAAACAAGCAGGGATTTCTTTATCGAGGAGAAACGCCAAAGGTACATTCTCGTAAACGAAGATCTGTCTCCTTTTGCCTGTTCCGTGTGGATAAGGGATACATTTGTAAACACTGACATCAGGTCAATTAATAATAACGCATGTTCTATTTATGTCAGGAGCCGAAGCGTCTTAGCTTGATAAATATTTCAGTGTTTATGTATTTGTTTTTAGTTTTAGTGCGCATGGGCATAAACAACCGCCTGACTTGTGCGGACAAAAACACCTCCATGCCGTTACAGACATAATCATGTGGGACCTTAAGCAAAACCCCGACGGCAACGGTAACGAGAACGCTACTAAACAAATGGTCTAACATGAAGCTGAAGAAAACTACAACGGAAACGGGAACGTCGCTAAACAAACGATTTAATCTGCAGGACAATAGCTGTGCACGTGTGTTATAATTCTTGGTACATTTTTTTACCGTCCTCTGCAAAAAAGAAAAAAAAAAAAAACGTGAAATGACCAAATTCTGCTTTGCCTGGAGAACATGAACCACTACGGCTAATTTTTTAAATCTTCATTTCAACTTTATCGTTTTGTCCCAGAAGTTCAGTTTCGTGAAGTTTTGACAGTGATGAACAGAGTAAATGACTTTAGAGTATCGCGGGATTCGTAGGTACAATATAATAATAATAATAATAATAATAATAATAATAACGATAACGATAACGATAACAATAATAATAATAGTAATAATAACAATGACTTTTTTATCATGTCAGTTACATCTAGCAGTGGAGAATCCCCATTGCTAATAGGGTACAAAAAATAATATACAGAAAAGTCCTATAAAGAAATTAAAATTATGAGTTACAAAGATGACAGCCACTACGTCCATCTAGGATGTTGCCTAGATCTAGTCTCCGTACGTGGGTGTTAAACTGCTTGAGATTTATCGCCGATCTTTCTTTATTTGTTAGTTTGCTCCATAGTCTTGGGCCTAGGTATCGAATAAAGATGTTTTTTAATCGGCGTTGTCCTCGGCGTCGCCGTCGTGGTTACTTAAAGGTGCTCAGTCACGGTATTTTGAGTTATTTTGGCCACATACAAAATTACCTTTAAATGGTAGGAAACCTGAAAATAACAGTTTAGTAAGATAGAAAAACACCAAAGAGATAAAGATAAACCATAAAAGAACAAGGATGGCTAAGAATGGAGAAGATTAACACGGATTATAAACGACGAATTTGAAAAATCAGGCTAAACTTTTCAATATGCGCAAACCGTGACTGAGCTCCTTTAAGCTCCCTAATGAGTAGAACAATGGCTGTGCACGTGCATTATAGGTATTTGTACATTTCTTTGCCATCCTCTGCACATCATCAACTTGAAATGTCTAAGTTCTGCGAATTTTGGAGAACGCGAACGACGGCGACTAATATTTCGTATTTTCATTTGGAATTGAACGTTGGCGTTACATTTTTCGCTTGAGCGAGGTTTGAGACCAATAGGCGCATTGAACAGATCTAGACAATTGCGAAATTCGAAGGTAAAATATAACTTCATTTTTTACTGGGCATTATCCTCGGGGTCGTAAAATGACCAAGTTTTACGTAGTATACGAAACGCGAGCGACGACGGCTAATTTTTCATATGGAATTGAACGCTGCCATTGCATATTTAGCCTGACTACGTTTTTAGAGCCATTGGCATACTGAACAGAGCTAGGCAATCGCGAAGTTGGAAGGTAAAATAGAAATTCATGTTTGACCAAGCGTCGTCCTCGTTATTGCTTAAGCTCCCTAAAATAAATAAGCAATGTTCTACACACACTCTCCTCGGAGAGAATGGGTTGGAATCTATTTTTTCTTATATGGGTTGCCCGTGGATGCAACAAGACGGAGCTCGACTTTCGTGAAATGCCAGTATTTTCATTCTCCGCACCAATTTTCACGGTGTTTCATTGAAATGGAACTTCTGCCTCTGTTGTGTGTTTCTAATGGAGGTCGGAATCTGAGAGGAATCATGGCGAGGAATGTTTTAATATTTTCTTGGAGGAAAAAAGGCTGCGAATTTATGCAGGAATTAACTCTCGTAATCTGCAGTTATAAAAGAGTCAAATCTCGCTATTTTTTTTTTTACCTCTGGTACATCATTTTGACACAGAAATTAATACCAAGGGACCAAGTAAAATTAGACTTGAGCCTGACTCGACTCATGCTAAAATTTGACTCGATCAAGAAACCGACACAACCGCCTCCAGAAAGAGCTACAAAGCATTCAGTTTCGGAATAAAAGTAAGCTCAACACTTCAGTAAAGTTTCTTACCTTGCATTCAGATCTTGTCCTTTCATACTTCAGTGTACCTGATCTCTCCTGTGCAACTCGATTGTGGTTTTGTCGGTGACAGCTATGAAAACAAGTGTAATCTTGCTTCATTTGACTCGCATAATGCGGAGAATTTTCAGCAAACTTTATTACCTCTGATCTTTCGGTAAGCCTTTGCTCGTTGGTCGCAATTTTCCAGAATATAGAAGAGATTGAGCAAGGAATATTTCCTATGAAAACTCTGTCTCGCTCGCTTAATTTCCACACGCCTCCCATTCAACTCAAAAAGTGAACACCGCCGAACAAATTTTCCCGCCTTTTCATGTACCAGCACTTGGTTGAAATGAAGTGAAATGTTCATCCAGTCGATTGGAGAAATTAGGGACCTTAAGCAAACCACGACGACGACGGCAACGAGAACGTCACCAAACAAAAGATTTAATGAGCAAAACAATAACGTGCTTTTAAATCTTTGTACATTTCAATGCCGAACTCTGCAAAACAACAACGTGAAATGACCAAGTTTTGCGTCGTATACGGAACGTGGAATTCCATTTGGAATTGAACGGCGTCGTTGCATATTTAGCTTAAGCGCTAAGAGCCATGGGTGTAACGAACAGATGTAGACAATCGCGAATTTCGCTTGTAAAAGATAACTTCATTTTTTGTTAGGCGTCGCCCTCGGCGTCGTTGTCGTTGTTGCTTAAGCTCCCTAAATTATTCCAATGCGTTGGATACGGTCTGATTTACTCAGCCTATGGGTCATAAGTTCATTTAACCTTCTGCGCAATTTCACATGATTATTTTTAAACACCAGCAAGTTAAAATGTGAACTGTAACATCCGAGGCTTACTTCAGCTAGAAAACGCTTGTAGCTAACGTTGTCATGTGTTGTCCGAAACTGCGTTACTTGTTCAAAAGCATCGTGAACTTAACTTGCACGACCAATTTCCAAAAAAAAAAAATCCCAAAATATATTTTTGACCGTGAGTTGGTACGTGAGTTGAGTAATAATCGGCTTTCTTTTTTAGCTGGTTGAAAGAGGACCGTATGTCTACAGTATGGTATCAAAAAAAGTGGGCGTAAGATTCAAAAAGGGACAAGTTACAAGCAAGTCATTTGAGCAAGCCAAGTTCAACAAGACGCTAACAGAAAAAGAATGTGAAACATGCCGCGAAGATGACAAGGTTTGTCCATATTTCATAATTTTTTATATGAGATACAGTTAGCGAAGCCGTGCTATCAAACTCAGTACACATGAGCAGTCAGTGCACGAGCGCGTGCACAATAATTCAATGTTGCATGCTCAAGGAGTGAGCATAATTAAATTTGCTTCGGCGGCCATTCCGGATCCATTACATCATCGAGTTAAGATGCACTTCGGAAGTTTGGAGAGCACTCAAGAAGCTAGAGTTGCTCTCGGATGCGTTTCGAACATTTCTTAAAGCTTTTTTTGTGCTCTCCAAACTTCCCCGTGCATCGTGTTAACAAATAGATTCTATGTTGCCGTGCGTCTGTTCGATAATTGATCACAGATGAAGTCAAACTATCGTAAGAACTCATGAACTCATGAATTCATGAATATAGCAAGAACTCAGAACTTAACACGTTTCCACGTCTTCTATTATTAAACTAACGCGCGGCAACGTGGAATCTATCTGTTTTATAAATAAAGAGACAAAAACTTTAAATGATGTCATCTGTACGTCTATCCTCCAATAGATCATAAGTGAAAACCAATCAAAAGGCGAGAATAATATTACCTATCATATAATACCAAACAGGAGATGTTCCATGTTCTCTAATAAACTAATCTACCTCAGTAGAATCCTACTATGTACATTTCGCCGATAAAAGTAAGGGTCTAAACGTTTTCGATCTGTCTGATCATCATCAGAGTGAAATAATATGCATACGCTCAGTGTTCTTATAGTTCAGGTAATGCCAGCTATATAATACCTGTTCGATGTGCTTGGCAGGCCCCGATTGCTTATTAACTTCTGCATGTTCATTAACACGAACCTCGAGGTTGCGTGCTGTTTCGCCAATGTATGTTTGTCCACAAGTACATTTACCTTTGTAAATGACGTTTGACGTGTGACGGGTGTGTGTTTTTGTCTTTTAACTTGAATAAGAACACTGTAAGAACACTATGAGAACACTGAGCGAATGCATATTATTTCACTCTGATGATGATCAGTCAGATCGAAAACGTTTAGACTCATAATTTTAACAGCTTTTTACCTTAAAGTTTTATAGAATTCTACTAGTATACCAATGCAAATGCTGTAATCTGATTGGCTGAGCCACTGAACTCTATCAGCCATTAGTGTGCAGTGGCTGGAGGTCGTGTAAGAAATGGCGACTTTTTTTTCCGTTGTCCCAAAGTTTTAGAGGAACATTTTGATGCGAAAGGATAATTGAATTCCTGAGAAGTCAAAATGAGGGACATTTATGGTTTGTTGACATTTTAAAAAGTTAAAATTATCGAAAAAACTGATCCGCGCGCGCACACAACTTCAATTTTAAATGACAATTCAATCCGAGCGACCTTTTTCAGGCGCAAAGCTTAATAAGACGTCAAGAAATAATTGGAAACCGTTATTTGAAGTAAATTTTAGTAAGAATTCTACTAAAACAATTATATTATTCGCTCTCGATTTCTATGAGGTGATAGTTGATTCGGTCTTCGACCTCATCAACTATCACCTCATAGAAATCTCGAGCTCATAATCTAATTGTTAATTAGAGGTCTAGGAAAACTGTTAGTGGACACGCGAGCGGAACTCGGTGATTGCACTGACAACAGAGCATTGTGTTCACATATACGTGCTCTGTAAATTCCAGTCGTTTGTGGTGAACATTGGTTATTTTATGTCATCGCCTCTTCGGGTTGCTTCTCTCCATAATAAGTGATCAGCACACGAAACACATATATCTTCTCTTGCAGTAATCTGGTGGCTAAAGCAATTGTTTTTCCTTTTAGCTGACGGTGTTAAATGCTGCCTACCTTGGTTTAATGGCAGAAGCTGGAACCGCGGACAACTTTGGCACTGCTTTCATACCACTTGTATTGAACCTCCTATTTTTAGGGCTCAATTCAACAACAAAAAGTCTGGATGCTACTCTACTTGAGATGGGAAAACCTCAAAACATGTTTCATTTAAATCCTACCTACAATCCTGCCTTTGGTTCATGGTTAAATTCCATTCCGAATTTCGCATCTCTTCAAAAAAATTTCACTTTAATAGAGATGAAAGGTTTATATGGCCCACTGCGGAATGCTTCACAATTCGGACCGTTTACAAATCAAGCACTGCTAAGCGAATGTAAAGGTGGTAATTTGACCATAGAATGCGGTCTTTCGATAAATTTTTTGTTCCTTAATACTTCGCTTGCAACGCGAGCAGCAGGGTTTATAGGGAAGCTGTTGTGCCCAGACCCTGCATCGGCTTGCTTCAATACATCAAATTCACAGCTCAACCTTACAACTGTGGGATTATTCGTCAGCGATTTGTCTAAGTATGTGATGTGGTACCTGGACGTCAACAACTACGGGCTAACGACTACTCGTAGCCAGAGTGAAATAACACTTGGTTACCTGATGGAAAAACTGCCATTGCCTGAGTATAAAAACGGGATACCTGTGCCAGGCGCGGTTACCTCACATGCAAAAGAATCAGATGTGAAGACAAACTCGACGTTCTACACGTGTGAATCCACCGATGGCGAGCGTTTCACTTATGCAGGTAAGCTTAACGTATGTCCACAGACCCTTTATTTTGTCTTGAGTACGTCGAGATCGCAATCAAAATTACTAACCTCAGGGGATTTTAAAGAGCTCGAACGCAAGCTAGAGGGATGGCCCTGGAGTTAGCGAGATGAAGGAAGTTTTTGGAGCTCTTTAAAAACGCTCTTCAAACGGGAGGAATTTGAAAACGCCGACTTTGTGTTTTAGTATGGACGGAAAATATCCTGAAAACGGAACTTTTCTAAAACGATGACGTCACGATAATCATGTGATTTCTCTGCGAGTTTTCCACAATAAACGGTGATTGCTGCGTTTTCAAATTTCAAATTGATGCATTTTCAGAGAGAAACCTTCGTTCTCAAAATTCCTCTAGCGCAGTGAGGACGGGGTCTTAGTCAAAGTGGCTTATTTAATAGTACTTTTGTATTTCTTCTCTTAGCGATAAATGGCCAAGGGCAAGTTGCAAAGGACCTATACCCAAACGCCACTCCTGAACAGCTCAAGATCCGAGGCTACTATACTCAGTTCCCAGGAGTTAAGAGTCTGAAGGCTTGCTCAACCAAGTTCACTCCATTGGCCAACAGCTACGAACTTTTCATATCACAGTTTCTGTTTGCTGTTCCCATAACATACAAAGAAGATGTGGAAATACACGATATCCCAATGCACAAATACGGCCTGGAAAAGTCTGCACTTGAGGTTAATAACGTGACCATATTTACCCGAGGGGTTTTTGACGTCAGCCGGGTTTTCAAAAGTCCTATCCGCATGAGCCTCCCGGGATTTCTCTATGGGGACCCTTCGTTGTATCAGGATTTGAATCTTTCCACGCCAGATGAAGGAAAATATGAGTCTTTTGTAAGTGTTATTTTATCGTGACGTAGTTGTAGTGTTGGGGGAAAACTCTAATATAATTTTTGTGAGTTCGAAAACGGACGAGTGTAAACTGAAAACTAACTTAAGACAGAAGAAAGTGAGGATATTAATTAAATAAGCTAATAAAATTATATTTTGTGGGTAACTGGATCCATTGAGAAGTAGTTTCTACGTTTTAATCACTCCTCCTAAATGCCTTACCTTACCTTCTCATAAAGTTTAATATCTTTTCACAAAGAGCAAATCCGCGGGACTCAAAACATTGTCACATTCATAACCGGACCAAGTAATAATAATAATAATAATAATAATAATAATAATAATAACGGTTTAATGATGACTTTTCTACAGAGTAGTTCTACATTCATCATATGCTAACTAAAAATTAAAAATACATATAGATATATCAGTATAATTTACAAGTAAAAATTATGTGGAAAACACGAGTATGTAAAAAATTAATTAATTATGTAGATTCAAAACAATCTAATCTGAGTTCGGCCTTTGTTTTCAAAAACTTAAAAGCTTTCCTCACAAATGTTTTAACATTAGACTCAAGCTTCATGTTATCTGGCAGACTGTTGAATAACCTGGAGGCTGAGTCTTGAAATGTTCCTGTTTCAAAGGGTACAACCAGTTGCGACATAGCACTTGAGCGTAAATTCCTGGTAGTTGGACGTCTCTGTAGTTCAGTTATTTCTACCCACATTCAATGGTTTTAGATAAATCTTTTTTCTCTCTTGCAGCTGAGTATTGAACCGATATCAGGAACTGCCATGCAGCTCAAACTTCGCCTTCAACTGAATGGACAGTTTCTAAAATCAGCATTGCATACAAGTTACCCAGAAACTAAGAATGTGACCTTCGTTGACAAACCGATACCCATCTCATGGGTAGAAACAGAAGCAAGTATTGATCAAGAGAGTGCCGAGGAATACAGTTCACAGGTAAATAAACTGTTGTCTGAAGCGGAGGGCCTGGGGCCGATTCCTGGTCGCACCCAGTAAAAGCATTCAAAACGGTACCAGCTGTAAACTATCTAAGCTTGTTTGTCTCGTCACGCAAGATTACGTGACGAACCCACAGAACGTACGTATGCAGGAGACGAAACCATTAATTTCCCCTTGGACGGAGAGTTCAAGTAACCTTTATTTACCTGCATGTGTTTCAACTGCTATGATTTTGATGATACTAAAAATTCAGTTCTAATTTGATTGTATCTTTGTTCTGTGATTGCAGCTATTTGGAGGACTGCGACTGGCGTGTGGTTTGCTCGTAGCTTTGCCTGTGATTGGCGGAATCTTAGTTATTTTGGGCGTGGCTTTTATTGTACTTGGTGTCAAGAAAGCTGATTCCGTGACTGCAGCGTGAACCAACCTCACGCACTGTACATAGAGCACAGGGAACTTTTGTGATCGTTACATAACACATCCACTCCTTGACTATTACTCCGAAGGAAAAATGAACATGATCACCACATTAGAAAAATTAGTGCAGTCGAACCTCCACTGACGGCCACCTCCTTACAACGGCCACCTTTTTTGTCCCAGCGGACGGTCCATATATTCACTCTTATTCCATCTCTTGACAACGGCCACCAGTCTTCACAACGGCAACGGTCACTTAAGTGCATCCCAACTGCCAAAAAAACCTCTCGACAACGGCCAGTTAATCAACGACTGACAAACAATGTATAAAAAAAACCCTATTTTTTATTGTAAAAGGTGACGAAACTTAATCTATACCACACGCAGTTGGTCTCTGTTTCTGCTTGGTTTCTGTTTCACCGATATAGTTTGGTTGTCTTACCTACAAGCATTTTAAAAGACAAAAAAGTGTCATATTACGCTCCTACCTGCTCATAAGGCCACCTCTCTACAACCGACACTCTCCTCTGTCTTCAAGGAGGCCGTTGTGAAGAAGTTCGACTGTATTGCTATCATTCCAATAGTTGCTTATCTGGAAACTTTCAGAGTACTTTGCTGCATTGGAATTTAAAACCATTTTTTGGGTTAATGAAAGAAGATTCTGCAAGAGTTAGCAGCGTGTTCTTTTGAGCGAGAAAATCAAGCTAGTTGTTTTTACTGCAAATTGGAAGGCACGGGGCAGTTAATTGAAAAGCTTCTTTCCTTTTCTTAGGGTGTAAATGTTTAGAAAAGACCGTTGATAGATGCAGCAAATGTTTTAATACTTAAAATTCGATTTGACTGTACATTTCATGAAATAATCACTGTCTTTGTGAAAAATTGCTAAATCCAGTTGTTTCTCCTAAGTAAGTAAGAGGTAAGAAACCATTTGGCGTAATGATTTACGCCAAAAGGGAATACCTAACTACATTACAATAATATACATGTAATATAATTATGTCTGGATTTATGAAAGATGTGTTAAAGAAATCGCGCCCTGCTGAAGTTTCCAAAGTAGACGATACAAAAATTAAAAGGAATGCCAATCTTTTTTCCCTCCACTCTCTTATCTTCCATTTCTTGCTCTTCTCTCAGTTTTTTTGTTCTTCGCTTGAAGTGATTTTAAGGCCTTTGGTAGTCTCGAAATCAAGATGCATACGCGTGATTTGGTGCACAGTATTGACACAGTTTTCATAAATTCAGCCACATATACAACTGGTAAAATATAAGATACGAGAATAAGTAAAACAAAGGTAAAATTTTCTAAATGATACATCTTAAAATCCTATGAGAGGGAGCAAGTAAATGAGTAGGTACCGGCTAAAAAGGTGAGTGGTGACGGCGGTAAAATGGGTCAGCGGAGAGGCTGATACAATACACCTCTGCCTTAGTCGTTATGGTAACATGTATTGTAGTGGGCGCCCTTAATAATGAGCGACCACTAGGTACCGGGCCTAGAACAAACTAAGTGATTATTGAATGGATCGATAAAGAAAGCCACGTGAAAGATCTCACCATTGTAATGTACATATAAGGTAGTCGCCGATATTTTACAGCGAAAATATGTCACAGAAACTTTCAACAAATACATCGAGTGTGATTACGTATCGTGGTTAACTACGAAGTCAATAATTCTTAACCCTCGAATGTTATCTAAAAAAAAAGAAAAGAAACATGTAAGATAAATATAAGACAAAGAAGTTCTCCGGTAAACCTTGTAAGATAAGCACAAACATAAGCTCAAAGATTGTAGGAGACCATAACATGAGTTTCCAACACAAGAAAGTTCATAGTCTGCGATATTAGGGAGTTCAAGCAATGACAACAGCAACACCAAGGACAGTGCTTGGAGAAAAATGAATCCCCAATTTTAGGACGGCTGAAATGTAGAGAAAGCGTTCAATTTCAAATGGAACTACGAAGCGTTTGCAGTCTCACTTTCTCTAAGGTGGACAAAATTTCGTCATTTAACGTTGTAGTTTTGCAGAGAACGAATTACCGATGTATCGAGATTTATAACTCACGTGCAGTGCCATATTACCACGCATTAAAAGGCTAGTTCTCACTAGCGTAGAGGCATGGGAAGAAGACACGTACGCATGCGCAGTGGGGAGCTGTTAAATAGCACCTCGTTTTAGGAAAGTTTCATACTGTATCTGGCTCAACCATATAAATGTAAATATCTCCATAACGGGTCTTTCTTTCGTTTTGCAATTCAGTCAAGTGCGCATGCGTCTGTAAAGAAGCAGACTGAGAATAAACGTAAACAAGATAACAGAATAAGAGAGTACTTATTACTTCTTTGGGAGGTGCAGTGGCCTCGTGGTTACTGCGCTCGACTCCGGAGCGAGCGGTCCGAATTCGAGCCCTGACCGCACTTTACTCTCACAGTGCCTCTCTCCACCCAGGTGTATAAATGGCTACCGGCGAGTTTAATGCTGGGGGCGTCCCTGCGATGAACTAGCATCCCATCCAGGGTGGAGTAGAAATACTCCTAGTCGCTGGATGCTACGGAAATCCGGATAAGCTCCGGCCTGGTGGGCCACTTGGCTCGTATGCAGACTTTACCTTTACCTATTACTTCTTTCCACCTCCGTAACACTAAAAACATCCCAATATATATTGCAGCATCCTACATTACAGCGTTATTTTGCGACGAGTACATTTTAAATGAAATTATTGAGTAGGAAAGAGTATTGTTAAACAAAGGCCAGCGTGCGAATCTAGATTTTTGCCTGGAATCTTTGCAGTTATATTTAAATTCGTCAACTGTTCTTCGAAAATTAATCATAATTGGTTAGCCTGTTCTTTCAATTAACAAAAATTAAAGCGATACCGGAGCAAAGGGACTGTTTCGCACCGGCCACCATTTGTTGATTTATTCTCTTTTCGTAAAATATGAATGACACAGGCGCGAATTATGTAGGGAAGAGACACAACAATTCCAAAAACTATTCTACGTTTAATCACAGTTTTTGACACAAATTGGTTTTTAACCCAAGCATTGAGGCCCTGTCCGTACTACGTCGGAGAAATTTGAAAACGCAGTTAAACGCAGTTTTATTTCTACCGTTACAGGCTTATCGTCCACATTAATTCGTCACAAAAACGTGGCTTTTCGAAAACGATCTTCAAACAGGAGGAATTTGAAGACGCCTGCTTTGCGTTTAGTGTGGACGGAAAACATTTTGAATACGGAACTTTTCGAAAACGGCAATATCACGATAATCATGTGATTTCTTTGCCCGAGTTTTCCTCGAACACAAATCCAAAATGACCGGTGATGATTGTTGAGTTTTCGAATTTCTCCGGCATATTGTGGACGGGGCCACAACCTACTTTTTTATTAATATCATACAAACATATTCCGAAAGGGTTAGATTGAACAGTACAATTCTGATTTACATCCGAGTCAAATAGTCATGCGCAGTCATAGAGCGATAAATAGTGTCACAAAATGTTCTTATTAACGGAACTACACCAGAGAAATTATCCATGTTGTTAACACGAAAACGCAAGATTAGGGTTACGTTTTTCAGCACCATACGGATCAACTGACAGCAATGTCAGGCAGAGAGTAACAATGCTTGGTACAAGACGGAATGTTCGAAAGCCGGTTAATGCTAACCCAGGATTAAAAGTTAACCGAATTGTTCCTTTTCCTTGTATAAAAATGTTTTTCACTGCTTATGTTTTGCGTAGTTCGATATTACTCCAACCCAAAGTTTTAGGACAAACAATATAAAGAGAAAACCTCACCGAAAAGTTACAAAAACGAAACAAAAATTCTCGTTAATCCCTGGTTAGCTTAATCGGGCTTTGAACAACCCAACCAAGAGGTCTGTTCGCTTACTTAGTCCCTTAACCTCTAGTTGGTACTAATTACTTGTGATAATATCGACTCAAAGATGTCTTTGGCAGGAACTGCGCTGAAAAACAAGTGTTCAATGGGTTTTTCAGCGAGACTGCGCAGTGCGGCTACACTCAGGAGTATTTTACCGAACCGAGCGGGTTGAGCTGGAAGTCTAGACCAGATATAGTCTGCTAATATAAGCTGAGCCTCGTCTTGAAGTTCTTCCACTTGATCTGCTGCCTTCAGACCCTGTGTATCTGCAAAAAAATATGACACACAAGAGACTATTAGATCGTCAGTCATTCCTGCGTGTACGTGAGGAAAACCGGCTTTGTTAACAAACTAGATTCCAGCGAATTTACGTGTGATCGGAATACAGTTTTATCTGTTCTTATTATATGGCTAGCTCCGTGAGCGGGCAAGATGAACATGACCTTGCGCTGCGTTTGGCTACCCGAGCGGGCAAGATATATGGGTTATTGACCAAGCTTGTTCGGTCAAGATGGCTGGATATTGGCCAAGTTCTTTTTTTGCGAGTTTATGGACCTCGACTCCGTCTCGG